ATATAATTCCCGATTGGTGACTCTATCGCCGTCCCATCACATCACTTGAGACAGTCTGTCAAAATGGGTTTTGTCCATCGCACCACCGCTCAAAAAATTGATCTGCCTCATCTGACGCCAGGTGTGTTTTTTCTATTTTTTTTTCTCAAGTTCAAGGTAAAGGACCGTATAATATGCAAAATATGAAATCATAATGAATATATTTCCATACATTGAGCTCGCGGTATTAATGATAAAAGTTGGTAAAGCCGAGCTCGGGTCTCGCGCAGAGCGGCCACGTGCGCCTCGTCCCACATCCACAGAGAAACTAAGGTGGTATCGTCCTTGCCCTGCCACTAGGATACTCACGCGATGACTGCCGGTGAAAATTATTACTAATTCTATTTTCTCTGCGCTTCCTTAAACTACAGCCTGAGTCGGACTCTTATTGGCGGGAAGGGCAAGAAATGGGGATGCGTTCGTTACCGGAAAAAGGACAATTTTGAAATTAGGAAAGGCGGTGTGGCGCACGTACGGCGCTTATGGGGACCGGCAACTGTCAATTCTGCTTTACTACGGCGAGCAGAGCGTGCGGAATACATAACAATCCTCGGGATTTTTACGCCACGGATCATTCCAACCCAATTTTCTCCGACTTATTCGTCACTGAGCTGAACCACTTGCCTTCACCCCGCCCGCCAGGAGGTCACCGCCGCCCATCCCCGTCCGCCTGAGTGGCCACGCCGGATGCAGCGCCCGTGCAGCGTTCAAACGTGACTCCAATTGCATACCATCTCTTACGACGGTGGGCTGACCGTGGGCTGACCGTGGGCTGACCTCTCCCAGTACGGGCGACCTTCTTCGGGCTCAGGAATGGTGTCATTACTGGCCGCGTATGGCACTGTGCCTTATGGCTGTCCCTCTCACTTACGCCACTGCCGCTGCTGCTACTGTTCAGGGCGGCCCCAATTAAGGCGTGGCTGGGCGCCGTGATTTCCGTGCGAAACCACTTAGAGGCCGCGGTATCATTTGTGTAATTTAGTGGAGACCATGTGTGTAGTCCTACCGTGTATGTTGCGCTACTAGACAACTTAACAATAATCTACATCATGTTGATATAACGCTAAGCAAATATATTCATGAGGAGGCACTTCATAGTTGTTGTCCATTTTTTTGTGCGGAATAATTGCTTTTTTCTTTTATCTTTTGTTTATGCATTTAAAAATATTTTTTTCCGGGGGTGTAATGGGGTACTGTACGCAATTAATAATTCACATTTTCCTGAAGTAGTGGTCTTAATGTTTTTTTTTTCTTAAATGTTTATATCAACTTGGAAAAAAAAAAAAAAAAAAAAAAAACGAGCAGAACGAATATGTACCACAAGTAAGTGTATAGGAAGTTAGTTGAAAACGAATCGATATGATACAATTGAACGAACCGACAGCATTTGGAAATTACAATATGCATATGCTGCCGCGTGTGTGATAATACTAAGGCATAAACTGTACACGAATGGGACGAATGCTGCCACAGAATATGTTTGGCTCCATTAGACTCTTCGGTGCAAGCGACTGCGGTACTGATGTAGAAAGGTATAAATGAAAATGAATGTCTACACAATACAAGAGATTTATTTGACCGATTTCGAATAGATCTTCGTCAGATATACACGCCATGTATTTCTGACGAAAATATATTTGAAGAAATACAAGAGATGTATTTGACCGGTTTCGAACATATCTTCGTCAGAAATACACGTATTTCTAACAAAGATATAATCAAAACCGGTCAAATAAATCTCACGTATTGTGAAGACATTAATCCTCATTATCCTCATTCATTCATACCTTTCTACATTTATCAACATGAATACGGTTCACTACGGTACCCTACCATCTAACCTCTTATTGGCAGGGGACAAACAGGGACAAGGGTGGGGGGGGCGCACCACAGACGGGTAAGTGTGGGCGTGTGAAAGCATGTGAGGAAAATGAGGGTCGGGTTTCAAGAGAAATTATGAGTAACATGAGAAATGAGTGTCGGGTGAACTTCTTTTGAACTTCGTGATGCCCGGATGTGAGAGACTCTCACTCGAAAAGCATCCTTGAGACGGAGACTGTGTCATCACATAATCAGCGTGGATAAAAAGAGGAAAGAAAGAGAAGAAGAAGAAGAAGGAGAAAGAAGCGAAAATGAGAAAGAAGAAGAAGAGAGGGAGGAGAGAAATTAAAAAGAAGGAGAAAAAATGAGAAAGAAGAAGGAAGGAGAAGAAAATTAAAAAAGAGAATGAGAAAAGAAGAAGAGGAAGATGAACATTAAAAAGAAGAAGAAGAAAGATCAGGAAGAAGAAGCAAGAATTAGAAGAAAATTAAAAAGAACAAGAAAAAATAATGAGAAAAAAGGAGAAGAAAAGAAAAGAAAGAAAAAAGATAAGAAAAAAAAGAATGAGAAAAAAGAAAAAAACATGGCATATAAAAAGTGAAACATCTACAGCTCTATCCCCTGCTGTATGACTTGACACTTGTTCTCTCCAACTTACCAGCGCTCACGCAACTGAACTTGATAATTAACACATCTAATCTACTTGAAGTAATAAAAATACACAAACTTTTTGTCTCCTTGACTTGCCAACGTTCATACAAATAAATCAAATATCTAATATATCTTATCGATCTATAATAATATTAATAATTAAGTGTTCTTTGTCTTCCTGACTTGCCAAACACTTATAAAAGTAGAGTTAATAATCAATACAACTTATCGATCTATAATAATATGAATAATTAAGTGTTTTTCTCTGTCTCCCTGACTCACCATCGCGCAAACACCATAATAATTAACGCATCTAATTTAATCCAATCTACATTTAATTTAATTTAATCTAATTTAATCTACACGACACCGACGACCTCACGCCCCAAACACCACATCAACGACCCAACGACCCGACGACCCAACGACGCACCCCCCCCCCCCCCCCCCCATCTTCCCCCCGACTCGTTAAGCCACGCCCCCTGCCGACAACACACACCTCAGCCACACGAGCCTTTCACAACACCCTCTCACACCTCCTGCCGGCGTAAGGGGATCATCAGAACGGAATCTCTCCTACAGGAAGGTCTTGAGGTCTCGTCGGGTCCGTCCGAAGGGTCTTTTTCGATGCTGCTACGGGTTGAAGGTCGTCGCTCAACGGGGGGGGGGGGGGGCGCATTCGGGAGCCCTTGGGTCTCATTTTAATTCATATCTATTTTTTTTTATATATTTCATTTGCTATTATTATATTAGCATCATTTATTATCATTATCATTATTATTATCACTATTATTGCTACCATTATTATCGCTATCATAATTATCACAATTATCATTATTCATTTGTTTATTCATTTCATTCATCTATTCATTTACACCATTTCGAAGCGGTGGCGAAGGTGACGTGGTCGCATCCGGAGGCGCAGAAGACCCGGTGTGTTGCGGGCGTCGGCAGACCTGCGGGCGTCGGCGTCGGGCCTCGTTGCAAGGAATCGGGCGGTATGCAAATGACCATCCTGATATTATGTTAATGTTAGTCCCGACAAACAGCTTCTATTGGCCGACTGGGTGGCATGCAGGGGATTCCCCGCGCCGCCTTTCATCTGTCGGATCACCTTGCGAGATGAATGCGACACACACGCCGTCCTCGGGATCTGAACTCCAAAACAATGCCTTATTCATGCCGATGCCTCACGCGCCTCATTAAACCGAAGTCTATAAGCCACAGAACGTATCTCTAAAGCCATTTACCAACACGCTAAGCGAACGCGTCATATTTACGGTATTTTGAGGCAGTTTACGTATAATTTCACCGTAGATTGAACCCGCGCTTCCCACACCGAAACATAAACACACGCGAACACGCCGCTACTCGGGCGTTGCGCATCCCGTGCTTCGTCTGTCTTCGGGGGCTCTTCGCTCTCAAATCAAAATGTTGCATGTTGAGAAATGATAAAAAAGAACAATTTAACCGGACTATTAAATGTGGGTGCGTGCGAGTGGTCTTTTTCCCTCGTAAAATACCGACTTTTTTATGGATATGCCAATAGAAGGACCTGTTTCTTCTACTTGTCCTTCCCTCTCCTCTTCTATCACTCCTCTTCCGTCTCCCTTCCTCGTTATCTTCTCTTCTTGCGGTTTACATACACACTCCCTTTCCTCCTCCTTCGCTATATTTACATGCCGTGAATTTATTGCCCTTTGTTTTTCGTCCGAAACGCTTAAAATGTTCATAAATCGAGACGAACAGAAGGGTAACTGTCCTCATGAACCAGTCCGCGGCGGGAAGCTATGAGGTGGCGAGACTGATTACAAAAAAAAAAAGAAAAAGAAAAAAACAAAAATACGTAAATGAATGATTGACTGGTAAGAAAAAGAAAAAAAAATGCGTAAATGAATGATTGACCGGCCAAATGAATTTTGAAAAATGGAAAAAAGTACTTATATAAGTAAATGTATAAAACAGGTAAGGAATTTGATATTCAAGAAAGGAAAGAGATGGAAATCAACAAAGAAAGAAAAACACAAAGATTAAAAAAAGAAGAAAATGGAGATATAAGTCAACGAGAAAATAATTAAAGAATATCAATATCAAAGAAAACAAAATACAAATAGAGAGAAAAAAAAAAAAAATTAAAACAAGAAAAACAAAAGACATACAACGAATTAAAACACCTCGCTTTAAAGACAAACAAAAAACGAATAAAAACATTACCTAAAGGACAAGAAAAAAAAGACAAAGATAACTAAACCACAATGCTTAAGACAAGAAAAAAAGAAAAAAAAACAAAACATGCTTTAAAGACAAAACCAAAAAAAAAAAAAAAAAAAAAAAAAAAAAAAAAGACAAATATACGAATAAAAACCACACAGCTTTAAAGACAACAAAGAAAACAAAACAAAACGAACACGCCGACACCCAGCCAGCAAGAGAAAAGAGCCAGCGTGGAGAACAAGCACCGCAAACGGACAAGTAAAAATGTTCGCATTATGGACTCAGACACCAAGCAAAATAACAATCAACAAAGGCGAGATAAAGGGTCCACAAGCAGCCCAAGCCAAGCACGCAAACAAGCAGGTAAGAGAGTAGATATTTCAGCTGACGAAGCAAGCAAGCAAGCAAGCACAGACGATACTCCGGAAGCCACGAAGTCTCAGCCAAAGTGGGGAAGTTTCGGACAAGTAGCGGCGGCCATCATCCCGCGCAGAAGTTAGGAAAACTGCTGTAGATTATTTTAAGATTTTTTTTTCTTATTTTTCTTATCTGTTTTTTCTTTCTAAATATATTTTTACTTTATTTGTTTCTGTCTATTTTTTCTCTATTTTGTGTTTCTTTCTTTCTTTCTTTTGTCTTTTGACTCCTTTTTTAAAAATCGGTGTTTGTGTCTTATTTTCTGTCTACTTCCGTAAAGCACTAACCAGGTCACGGTTAGAAAAGGTCATTAAACTGCCTCGTTGCTGTTGATGGATAACAGTTAGCAAAAGTGAACCAAACTCTTCTCTCTCTCTCTCTCTCTCTCTCTCTCTCTCTCTCTCTCTCTCTCTCTCTCTCTCTCTCTCTCTCTCTCTATATATATATATATATTATATATATATATATATATATATATATATATATCACACATATATATATAAATACATAAATATGTATATGACATATTATATATATTATATATATATATATATATATATATATATATATATATATATATATATCTCTCATTCTCTCTCTATGTATCTATATATATACACATATGCGTGTGTACGTGTGTGCACATGCAGGAGTGCATGGGCATACATACACATGAGAACACAGAATCAAAGACAAGAGCCACTGAAGTAGAAAAAAGTAAAACTACAAAGACAACTTCACTCAAAAAATAAAAAACAAGAAAGAAATAGAGACAAAAAAGATGAAACAACGAAACCAAAGGACGAGAGAGAGAAAAAAAAAGAAAAAAAAAAAAAAAAAAAAAGGAAAAAAAAAAGAAAAAAAAAAGAAAAAAAAAAGAAAGAAAAAAGAAAAAAAAAAAAGAAAGAAAAAAAAAAGAAAAAGAAAAAAAAGAAAAAAAATTCGGGAGAGCGTCCGAGCCCCTGGCCAGCCTACGAGTGCCCGAGCGAGGCCGCGCGCCGGTCTTCGCTCTGCCGTGTAATGACGTGTCACGCCCCACAAATTCCAGATAAAAAGTCTAACTACGTCGCCCGGCCGCCCTTCTTCAGGCTGCCCGGGACCCACGCCCCGCCGCCCATTCTGCTACTGCGCCCGCCACCCCTTTTAGCACTAATATACTGGTTATTATATATGAAGAAGTCTTTTAGCTTGTATTGGATGCTTTGTTTTCAATATCCAGTCTGTACAAAAATGTTTGGTATTTGATAACCACGTAGCCCCTCCACCCTCCATTATTATTTTTTCTTTAATTTCGATTTACGTTTTTACACATTCCTTTATTTACCATTTCCTCATTTGTTTTTATTCTTATTTTTAACATCTTAATACCCAGTAGTAAATATCATATACGATCCAATTCCTTTCAAAATATAAAACCTCTTTTCATACTTTAATTCTACATATATTTCCTTGCCACCTGCAGGTACTCTCCCATAACACGGAAAGAACAACACAATCATATATCACAAGAGAACACAACAGGTCTAATCAAAACTATATAATTAATTGCTGTCATATATATATAGGATATTAGCAATAAGCTCGTATCCCTTTCGGAACTGTAAACATCTTCATCCCCGGAAGCGAAGAGGTGGCGAGAAGGAGCCAGCACTCGTCCAGAGCGAAGGAAAAAATAGGAAGAGTTATTGCAAAGCATTTAATGTCAATAATTCCCATTTTATTTCTGGCCAACAGTTCTGACACGAGAGATATTGGATGGCAGCCGAAATTCCGTAGGGGACGACAGAGGACACACACACGCACACGCACAACACACCACACACCACACACTTCTCTGTCTGTCTCTCCTCTCTCTGTCTGTCTGTCTGTCTGTCTGTCTGTCTCTCTCTCTGTCTGCTCTCTCTGTCTGTTGTCTCTCTTCTCTTTCCTCACTTTTCTCCTCCACCCCTCCCCTTCTTCCCGCTCTCCCTTTCATAAACAGGCTATAGCAGGGTAATATATTACACGCAAGGTTTATCCTGGAAATACGTCAAAACACCATTGATCATTTTACAGCGCCAAACACTCCGATCACTATAAAAAAACCCGGAGGGGAATGTGATCACCTTATCATTTCTCATCTGAGCTGCTTCCTCTAAACGCTATCGAGGGAAGCACTCGAGATTCGGGGACACAACAAACAGCTGGAGAGAATACCCCCTTCCCTCCTCCCTCCTCCCCCCCCTGGCAAAGCTGTGTACACGTTGCCATGGTAACGCGCCGTTCTATGGTGTAAACCCGCAGATAAAACCTTCGCTACTCTCCGCTAGCTACTTGGTAAAGCGCGGGGGGGGGGAGGAGGGGGAAGGAGGAGAGGGAGGGAGGGAGAGAGAGAGAAGGAAGAGAGAGAGAGAGAGGAGGAGAGGAGGAGAGAAGAGAAGGAGGAAGGGAGGAGGGGAAGGAGGAGGAGAAGGAGGGAGAGGGAGAGAGAAGAGAGAGGGAGGAGAAAGGGAGAGGAGAGAGAGAGGAGGAGAGAGGGAGAGAGAGAGAAGAGAGGAGAGAGAGAGAGAGAGAGAGAGAGAGAGAGAGAGAGAGAGAGAGAGAGAGAGAGAGAGAGAGAGAGAGAGAGAAAGAGAAAGAAAGAAAGCGAGAGACCGAAAAAAGTAGGTCTGGTACCGCGATACCAACGATAAAACGACGCATGTCCTCTGGTGCCGTTCCGCCGTTATTCAATATTCAACGTTGCAAGAAACCGGTTTATTTGAGGCATCGATGGGTATAAAATATGCGATCCTTCCGGGTTATGCGAACGGTTATACGAACGCTAGGTGTCCGTCGATGCAGGTTTGGTGTGGCGTAAGAAACCTCCATTTTTAATAACATTTATGCAAAAAAGTAAAAAAAAAAAAAAAAAAAAAAAAATAATAAATAAATGATAAATGAATAAAATAAATGAATAAAATGAATATAAATAAATAAATAAATAAACAAAAAAATAAAGAAGAATTGAATTTATTTAGATGTCTCCCTTTTTTCATACATATAAAAAAAAAGAATAAATAAAAAATGAATAAAAAAAGGAAAATAATTTAATGTATTCAAGAGCGTCTTCCTTTTTTCATACACATTATGAAAAAAAATATATATTGAATGGAATGTATTCAAGACTCTCCCTTTTTTCATACACGTTATGAAAAAAAAAAAACTGAATTGAATGTATTCAAGAGTGTCTCCCTCGTAAAAAAAAAAAAAAAAAAAAAAAAAAAAAAAAAAAAAAAAATGTCAGGTTTATGTCTAATTAGAGACCTGTTGTAACAATAGGATGTTCCGGCTGCAAGTGTGCTCTCCTTCACGCTCGAGTCGCTTGCATTCATGGAGGTTTAAAGAATCTTTTAAAACTATTCCCCAGCGCCGCAGTCACTCCGCCTCGACAGAACTACGTTTTAATTTTCCGAAGCCCTCCAAGCGCCAGGGTGGCCCTTCCTCCCTCCCTCCCTTCCTCTCTCCCTTCCTCCCTTTTTCCTTCCTTCCTCTCTTCCTTCTTTCTTCCCTTCCTCTCCTCTCCTCCCTCCCTCCCTTTCCTTTTCTCCTCCTCCCTCCCTCCTTTCTCTTTCTCTCCTCCCTTCCCTCCCTTTCCTCCTCCTTACCCCTTCGGACACCTTTCCCATCTTGTCTTAGCTTCGCTTATCTCTCTTTCTCTCACTTTGCTATTTTCCCTTACTAACCCTGCTTTTTTTTTTCCTCTCCTTTTACTTAACCCTGCAATATTTTCCCTCTTCTTTTCCTCTCCTATCTTTCCCTCCTTCCTCTCTATTTCCCTCCCTCTCCCTCTCTTTTTCTCTCTTCTCTCCCTCCCTCTCCTTCTACCTTCCCTCCCTCTCCCTCTTACCTTTCCCTCCTTCTCCTCTCTTCCTTCCCCTCTCCCTCTTCCCCTTTCCTTCCCTTTCCCTCCCGCTCCCCCTTTCCTTCCCTCCAAAGTAGCGACAGGATAGGGTGTAAATGCAGCAAGCGTAGGCATGTTATGAACACTCACTTGACCACTGCAAGGGCGCTCGCTGAACCACGGGATCCAGGTCCTTACACATACCACAGACGGAGAGTGTTCATGCAGCCCCACAGACGGACCTCGAGTGTTCGAACGGTGGTGTTCATGTAGCCCACAGACGGACCTCGACAGCACCCACAGACGGACCTCGAGTGTTCATGTAGCCCCACAGACGGACCTCGAGTGTTCATGTAGCCCCACAGACGGACCTCGGGTGTTCATGCAGCCCCACAGACGGACCTCGAGTGTTCATGTAGCCCCAAGACGGACTCGTAGTTTCATGTAGCCCCACCGGACCTCGAGTGTTCATGTAGCCCACAGACGGACCTTCCGTGTTGTTCTGTAGCCCCACAGACGGACCTCGATGTGTCAGCCCCCCAGACGGACCTCGAGTGTTTCAATGTAGCCACAGACGGCGAGTGTGTGCAGCCCCACAGACGGATGTTCAGTGTTCATGCAGCCCCACAGACGGATCTCGAGTGTTCATGTAGCCCCACAGACGGACGTTCATGTTCAGGCTCCACAGGACGGACCTCGAGTGTTCATGTCAGGCAGCCCCACAGACGGACCTCGAGATGTTCAGGCAAGCCCACAGACGGACCTCGAGTGTTCAGGACAGCCCCCACGGACGGGTTCATGCGAAGAAGCATGCTGTTCATGCAGCCCCCAGACGGACTCGAGTGTTCAGGCAGCCCCACAGACGACCTCGAGTGTATCAGGCAGACCCCACAGACGGACCTCGAGTGTTCAGGCAGCCCACAGACGGACCTCGAGTGGTTCAGGTCACAGACGGACCTCGAGTGTTCAGGCAGCCCCACAGACGGACCTCGAGTGTTCAGGCAGCCCCACAGACGGACCTCGAGTGTTCAGGCAGCCCCACAGACGGAGCGAGTGTTCTTCAGACGGTCGGTGTTCAGGCAGACCCCACAGACGGACCTCGAGTGTTCAGTTCAGCAGCCCACAGACGGACCTCGAGTGTTCAGGCAGCGCCACAGACGGACCTCGAGTGTTCAGCAGCGCCACAGACGGACCAGGTTCCAGCCCACAGACGGACCTCGAGTGTTCAGGCAGCGCCACAGACGGACCTCGAGTGTTCAGGCAGCGCCACAGACGGACCTCGAGTGTTCAGGCAGCCCCACAGACGGACCTCGAGTGTTCAGCAGCAGCGAGCGCCACAGACGGACCTCGAGTGTTCAGGCAGCCCCACAGACGACCTCGAGTGTTCAGGGCAGCCCCACAGACGACCTCGAGTGTTCAGGCAGGCAGACACGACCTCGAGTGTTCAGGCAGCAGACGGACCTCGAGTGTTTCATGGCGCCCACAGACGAGTGTTCAGAGGACAGCAGCACACAGACGGACCTCGAGTGTTCGCAGCCCCCAGACGCGACTCGAGTGTTCAGGCAGCGCCACAGACGGACTCGAGTGTTCAGCCACAGACGGAGTTCAGCAGCCACAGACGGAGTGTTCTCGCGGTGTTCATGCAGCAGAACGGACCCTCAGACGACGGACTGTTTCTGCAGCCCCACAGACGGGATGTGTTCACAGGCGCCACAGACGGACCTCGAGTGTTCATGTAGCCCCACAGACGGACCTCGAGTGTCAATGCATCCCCGTTCGAGGAGGAGTGACGTGCTCCTCCTCGCCCCGGTCAGCTGGCAGGGCACTTGACTCTCCGAGGGTAAAGTCGGTGCGTCCTCACTTCCCTGCGTGAAGCCGAGACTCTCCTTCCTCGAAGAAATGGGCCTGGAACGTCTCTTGAGTGTTGTGCTTCAGGAGTTTTGTTTGTTTGTCGTTTTACTTCGAGGTGATTAGGCATTCATAGGCTCGAGGGGCATCGTGCAAGTACTTCTATGTCTTATGAGAATTAAAGAACAAATTCCTTCATTAAAGATCTATTCCCTCCACTGTGAACTATGGAACAACCTTCCATTACTTATCAAGACCTTCCTCTATGTACTACAGGAACTCCTGCACAACCCTCCATCATTTGGCACAAAGTCCCTCCTCTGTGAACCCCCTCAAGGACCACAGAACAACCCTCTCCATCATTTAACTCCCAGACCCTCCCCTAGGGCCCCTCCTTCCATCACTCGGGTGTCACCTGGCCTCTCCCCCATCACCTGAATGGTACCAAGACCCCATCAGCTGAGTGGTTCGGGGGTCCCTTCCAATCACCCGAACGACCCAAGTTCACAACCCCGCGTGGTGTATGGTCATCCGCGTGTGACATCAAAGCCCTACATCTCGATACGTGTCTGTCTGGGCACCGAAGCGTGAGAGTAACAGAGAAAGGATGTGTTTATCCATCAGAAAGCCCTCCGCATTCCTGGGAGACAGATGTTTGTTTACACATGTGTACGTCCGGCCGGTGTAAGTACCATTAGTATCATTCCTGGGAGACAGATGTTTGTTTACACATGTGTACGTCCGGGCGGTGTAAGTACCATTAGTATCATTCCTGGGAGACAGATGTTTGTTTACACATGTGTACGTCCGGTTGTGTAGTACACAAGTATCATTCCTGGGAGACAGATGTTTGTTTACACATGTGTACGTCCGGTTGTTGTAAGTACCATTAGTATCATTCTGGGGAGACAGATGTTTGTTTACACACCGTGTACGTCCGGACGGTGTAAGTACCACAAGTATCATTCCTTGGAGACAGATGTTTGTATACACATACGTGTCACGTCCGGATTGGTGTAAGTACCATTAAG